ACAAATTTCTAAGATTTGATTGATTGAAGAATCTTCAAGACTGTGACATTTAATGCAAATTTCAAAATCATGAATCAGATTCCTCTCACTCTAAAAAAGAGAAAATTTTAAAGGTTTGAAGAAAATTTTCAATTCCTAGACCTTAAAAAAGACTAGTTCAAGTTTGAAGAAGTTTTCAAGATTCTGGAACGTAGATTCAGATTTCGGATCATGACATATTTTCCAAGATCCCCGATTTGAAAACTATATCAATGTAATGGATCTTAGAAAATTTTTAAGGTTCATAGACTTGAAGAAAATATTCATAATTCTGGAATTTCTTGGCATAACCATGAGAATTTCTGAAATATTCTGAAGTGAACTCAAGGGAATTCTAAGGAGTATTCTATGAGCGTTCTGACTGGAGTTCAATTTTAGTTTCGAGGAGAACTTCAAGCAAAATCTATGAAATGCTTCCAAGATAATTTTGAGGGCCCGATAAATAAGAAGAGCTACAATTTAAATCTTAATGGAGTTCTAAAGTGAGAAAAAATTCAAATGATAATTTAAGCACAATTACTAAGCAAATGTGAGAATAATAATAAGGGAATTCTAAAAGCATTCCAATTGAATTCTGAAGAGAACTTCAACGGGAGATCAAAGGACTTCCATAAATGAATCCTTAAACCCTTTTTGGAATTCATATGGATAAATAGGAACAGATATTACAGTGGATGGAATCATTCTTAGAATTACACTAGAACAAATAAATAATATATTTAATTCTATTAGTCGATAACTCTATAACTCAATGGTTCCTTCAATTTCGAGTTATGGAGAGTTGACTGTATTGCTATTTTTGCATTTTAATAAGAATCGGTGATTTCTCATCAAATATTGTTTCTTTCCACAAACACTTTTTTACATTTTGTTCATTCCAGCAATTGCTATATTATGTAGAAACAATATATCGAGCAGAACGCATAACTACACACTACGAAAAAGCCATGTAAATTGTCATGCCCTGAGACCGACACATGCAAGCGGCCCAAATGACATAAGAATCAGTTGAAAAAAACGAGAAAATCAATTCAATCAAGCGTACTTTTCGTCGAGTTGCGTATGTTTCGGTTTGGGAACACCTAATTTTACATGACATCCCAAGTAACATTTTAAGTTTTATGAAATACTACAAAGCAACCAAGGCTATTTTGTCATTAATGCATCCACCAAACCCTCATTAAGACTAGAATATGTCTAGTTGGCCCACCCTGGAGCAGGTTCTGAAAGATGTATTCTCGAAGCTCTTCAAGATTGTATGACGAACGCATTGAGAACCATTTCAAAGCTACAATAAAAGCTATTTAGCAACAATAAAAACCTTTTCCGAGCCATTTCACTTAGCCGCTCGCTAAATCCACTAGAAAAGCATCTGTGGCGACCCCGCGGTCGGTACGCCTCACTACCTGGGTTAGATCAACCGTGCATTCACATCGAAATGATTTTTATCACCAGCTCGCAGTTAATGACAGCTGTCAAGTTACTGACAACGAACGGGAGCAGTGTGGCGTGCGTTTTGAGGTCATTTTGTCAAGTGCAAATTTATTACCGTACAATCTTTTACAAACTACAATTATTAAAAGCTAAAATAATAGTGAACTATAATCTGAATTACATTTACTTATACTCTAATATCGATATTAAGTGTAACGCTACGGTAAACAGTAAATTATAACATAACATTGAGTTGAAAACTTACAGTTAAAATCTCTTAAGGTTCAATTTACTTTGATGCTTTTTGGAAAATTTCAAAAGCAGTTTTTTTCGACGCATTATTTTAGATTGCAAAAACCTCGCGTCATTTTGCGTAAGATATCAAAAGGAATCGAATAGTGCTAGCTTTTTGCAATCTAAATTAATGCGCCGGAAAAAACTGCTTTTGAAATTTTCCAAAAATCATCAAAGTAAATTGAACCTTAAAGCTAACCTTAAAACTAGAGTAAAAATCTCTTTGTGGAACTATACATCGTGGAAATCGAACTGGGCTGCCGTATACGGTAATAGAAATTTGAAACCAGAAAAGATAGATGATTAATATAATGAATTACAGTCGGTCGTTTTACCAACAATTGAAAACACTAAACGTAAGTAGCCACTGTGTACAATGTTTGAAAATTGCCTAATTAGCTACACTATTGTAGGATTTTTTTTTAATACACGCTAGTTATTAAAAAACCGGAATATTATTTCAATTCCCGTTGGCCGAGCACCAACAGCATCAATCAAGATAGAAAATGAATCCAATCTTATCAAAATAATTAAAATAGAAACTGATGGTTTTAAAAATCTTGCTGAATATCCAAATTTAATACAAAAGTTCTCTTTAAGTGGCCTAGTTTTAAGTGTCTTATTAAATGTTATGTGAAATGTACGTGAAAACAACGAAAAAAACAAGTCTGCCCTAGTAAAATGTCGATTTGACTAATTATTTCACATTGAAAAAAAAAATATTCTTCAGATCGACCAAGGCCGTGATTTTTTTTAATGATTTTCAAATTTAAATGTTTGCTCATTGCTAAATTTACCAAAATATAGTTATATCCAAGCATATTTAGATTGAAAGTCGAAGATTGTATAAAAAAAAGCAAACTAATTGTAACATGGTGGTGGAAAAAAGTTGATTTTCATGGGTCATTTGTGAAAAAATTGTTTTGCTTTCAAGAAATCCTTATCAAATTCATAAGATTTTAAAATGGCTTTTATGAAGAAAAATTTCAGGCTGAATTTTATTTATCAAAAGCCATTTTGCTTGATCCTAACCCATTCAGATTTATGGTAGCATTTATGGAAGCAAAGTAGCCTGCAAAAAGTTAAACGTCAAAGTTTGTTTATCTTTCGATAGTTGTGCTGTGGGATCCAGGATTCTTCCAGGTGGTTTTCTTCCGATGGATTGGGAGCAGTTACTCAGATATTTTGCGATACTGTTTTACAATATTTCGCATTTCGAACAGATGGAAGTGTAATCGTTCCCCTTCTTCCGGATGGTTACAGAAGTGCACCATCCAACGATGTAGGGATGTACGCTTGAATTAAATTTTCGAAGAGTTGATTCTTTCGCCGAATAAAATCACTGCTATGGATCGGAAACCAGCTAATCTCCGCTAACTAACAGTTTCAGTGGTTTTCTGTCGGTTGTTATTTCGATTGTCATCTATTCGCAAGATCTGGAGAAGGCTGGTATGTTTCGACCATGTTTTATGAATTCGAGGGCCACGCTCACTTTACTCTTCTCCGCCAGATGGTCAGTCGTTGATGGTATACTGGTTCTTCTAAAGAAGTAAATTTTGCTGAAATCGACTTAAAATTTTCATCCTACTTCGTCTATCCTCGAGATTTCTGTGTCATAAATTTGGCTTTTATTAACTATGAGGAACCATCTTTTAAGCTCAATTAGTAAACAGAGTAAGTGGGGAGTTTATGGTGCACTTTAAAAGCCTAAACAGCAACAATAAATGCTTTTTTGCTCTGATGAAAAACCTAGTGGTTTTATGGTTGCTTTATTATGATAGAACACGTATATAAAGTATTTTATCAAGACATTAATAAACAATTGCTAATGACGTTTATGCTTGAATTACAGAACAGTTTTAAAAAGGGATTGAAAACTGTTTTAAATTTATTTTTAAAACAAGACAGTTTTTGACTTTCTTGTCAGACTATAACAGGTTTTTAAAACAGAAAAAAGCTGAATTACTAAGCAGGAATGTTTTACACTTTGAAATGCTATATTTAAATTCAATTGATTGTTCATTGCCATTATAAAACCATCATAAATCACAGTGGATGCCGCATGGTTACTGAATTGTTACTTGGGATGTTTGTTTACGTTCCATAATTTACATCCAAGATGTATTACGTCTCGTGTAAAATAGTTATTTCTTAGTGTGTATTGAGAAGTTTAGTTAAAAATGAATATCGCCAATCATTCTCAACTATGCTTTTCACAGTCCATACGTTCGAAGGCAACTGCTGACTCAGAAGTAGTGCGATGCACAAAATTGGATTTTTCCCTAATACAATCGGAAAAGATTCCTCTTAACACTGCACGGGAGCTTCATCCTCTAGCAGTTGCAAAAAAAACACTTTTGTTTTCGTTTGCTTTCTTCGAGTTGACGACGCATATGGGAAACCGTGTTCAACGACACGGAACTGACCTCCTCCCGTTTTCGCTTGGCCAACTTTGATGCCACGTGAGTTAACGTTCAAAATGCGCCAATCGAATTGTTTATTAGTAGGCAGGGGTTTTTTTTTTATTTCTGCGACGTGTTTTTTAACGGTTTTATTTTTTATCAGACGCTCTTTTGATGTTTACCAAATGAAATCAACAAAATCACGGGAAATACATATGACGACATAGTGTTTTTTGGCTTGTTTACAGATTTTTTTCCTAAGTTCCAAGACACGTTTCCCGAGACGAGAATCGTAATATAGGTACCGACGAATCGAATTTAGCGGTCAGCTTACCCACTGCAGTAATACTAGTGGTAATTACCCCGGATTCGGGTGGATTCGTAGTTTTCTTTTACAGGAAAAGAAACTACCAAGTCGCATTGCAGTTGCAGAGGAAGTGTGTTTGTGCAGGTGAACTGCTGCCAGCTCTCGAGAGAAACACACATTTAAACCGAAAGCAGAACCGTTCTGATCCGTGGAAATTTGCGACGCGACGCAAACTACTAAAAGCGTAAGACGACGATGAACGACGTGACGCCTTGATGAGACAAGAAAGGAAAAGCCAATAGCGTTGTAATGGAAAATGCGGAAAATAGCGTCCCGCGCTGTTTGACTGTCTGCTGCTCAGGCGTATGTTTTTTGTTTTTATTTACGTTGGCCAAGAAGGGTATACGGATGCTCCTGTTGCTGTTGCTTATTAATTTACGTGTTCTCTTATTTTTGTTCTTTATGGGACTGCTCGATACCGAATTGGCATAGGGTAGGGATTTTCCGTCTTTATACTGAAAGTGAGCAAACCCGTGTACGGGGTTGACCCAAGGAACTCGGGCAGCTGAACTCAGTCAACGTCGATCCTCCGAAGAGGAAAGCAGTTGAAGTAACTGGAAAGATTCAGCAAGCGCAAATTAGAGACACTTACGGGTGAATAGAACTTCACAGCGGAGCCAAAGTTGAAGCACGAGTTGGAGCAAACTAACTGCACTGCGGAATAGCATTTTCTGAAAGTGATTTCTTTGTCCTAAGCTAGCAGCGCATTTAGAAGAACGGTGATAGTATTGTGATTTTTTTTTTGTTAAGTGTAACTGAGTGGTACTGAATTTACTGGAATAATAAGTGGAAAACTAGAAAAGCTGTGATAAAAACGAACATTTTGGAACTGTTTGTCGCCAGTGAAAAATATTCTGTAAGTGTAATGATTATTTAAAAAAAAAAACAAAAAAAAACTTGTCATTCTTTACTAAAAATTATTGAGATATTTATAAAGTTTCTTTAACGTTTTATTTTTTTTTTTTTAGTGATTTGAAATTAATTTGAGTGAAATGTGATTTGAAATTATTTTATAATAGATTTTTCAAGGATGAGTTTACATAGTCGAATCTGCTTTTGTAAGCAAAGATTTCAACGTCGATTTTTCAAAACTCTTAGCTCACCCACGCAGACTTACGCCACCATGATGGTGTGGAAACTTTACCGTACCTGATGAAGGTAGGGCCAATAACTGGTACCGTTGCATATATGAGATTGCGCCATAATTTAGCTAGATATATTGTTATTGGTAGCTATCAACAAGCACCAAAAAAAGGTGTCGTTATCGATATTGGCAGAACTATTCACTCTTTTACCTCAGCTATAGGATAGAAGGGCAAAGTCTTAAGTAAGTTGAGTAGTAATTTAAATATTTCTTTTACAGAAAATTTGTACCTTCTGATGTTAATTTGCTTCAAGTTCCATAAAAATCCGCTTCAAGTTCCATAAAAGTTATATAAAGTTCCAACAGAACTTTCAGGTTACTTTAGAAGCTATAGAAAGCACACGAGGAACTTCATGATATGATATGACAATGGTTTACCACCCATTGTAGCACGAAAACTAAGTCCGACAGCAGTGAGCTCTCTTTTCTGTTTTTTCTTGATCAAGCTTAATAACTTCTGATTGTCCTCAACATGTCGCTGTATGAAGGGCCAAAGTTGGATTGGGTAGATCGATAGGCAAAGTCACCCATACGCATCTCTTAAATAAAGATTAAAAAAAAATAAAAAAAAACCTATACGCATCTACGGGACAATAAAGAATCTCCTTTCAGCAACTTGATCCGCCAATTGGTCAAAAAGACAAGCCCCCAAACAGGAAGATGCCCCAATGAGTGGGTAGAAGAGCCCGCCCTTTATCCACGAAATGTTATCAACAGGGAGTTGGCATTCCCGCTCTCTCCGTCCAAATCGCTTCAATCGGGTGCTCTGTTGGACCGTCCTTTCCCTTTTATTTGTATTTCAATGTATATACGAGTTGATTGTTATGATTATTGACAATAATACTTACATTTCCATGAAGATCGTGCTACTTATTTTACCTTTTTTTTTGTGATACTCATCATCACAAAATCAAACCTTGAATCGTAGACCAGGTCCATCAACAATACACTCGTTCCGAGAAGGGGCTCATGGTCACCTTCTTCTTCTTCAGGTTTGCTCATCACCCGGAATGAAGGCTCGGTGCGGTTAGTAATATTAAACAGTGTTCCATGCAAACGAAAAAGAGATACAACCAGGATTAATTTTTTAAAGTAATAGTCATCTGAATATCCAACTAACCATATCTCAGTGACATTGTCTCACTCTGAACCTACATTAAATGTTATTTAGTGATTATATGGTTACTTTGGTACTCACATGAAATGTTGTGCAAGTACCACAAGTGCAACAACTATGGACAACTCACCCAGACATCCAGAATGCACGTATATTCAAAGTTGTTTTCGTGATATACAAACATATATACAAACAATTCGTATGGAATATTTGCTTATACGTACAAAAGTGGAGGCCATATACGTGCATATTTTAATTTTATTTTAAACGAGTTGATTTAACATCATATACGATTTAATCTGTTATAAAAAATTTCATTTTGAAATGTATTACGATGTAATGCGATTTAATTTGTGATACTGTACGACGGAAAAATGAGTCATCGTATATAAGTCAAAAATTTGCATTCTATACGACTTAACTTAAACATAATGTGAGGTATGCCATTCTTATATGCGATTTTGTAAACTATCACAATTTGCAATACTGTCTGTACATTGGTATACGACTTCTGGTTGTCTGGGCAATGTTAATACCATTTACTATTTGAATCAGCGTACACCAACATGATAATCTACTAAGAAACACCTAAGAATGTATAGAGATAAAGCTCAAAAATACAGTTTTAACTGATGGTAGTTTATAAACATCAAACTGTCCAATATTGGACCCTGCCAACACACGGCACCTGCACGGTAATGTGGGCCGTCAGAATGGTTCATCGGTTGCGAAGTGAAGTGCTTCTCAAACTGAAGCGATACATTTCTCAATTTTTCATTTTTTTTTTTAATATTATCAACCATATGCCCGTCCACGCCCGAATCCCATCCACCTCACAAAATCAAATAAAAATGTTTCTGTATGACAAACACGTCCAGACATAAACGATAATATGGGTGTATATCTTCACTGTAACAACTACGGGTAATCTTCGACAGTACATGCATTTTACTCAGGCACTTTTGAGCAAACTGCAATCACTCTCTCATACTCGAAATGTGCCACGACCAAATTGGCACAACGACGCCCTATACGCTATCTGACCAAAGCGCAGGGGGCTACGGGCCTGATGATAACACTAATTCGAGAATGCTATCCACATTTCCAGAAACCTGAACATGGCTTCTTGATGTTCTGGCTGTGCAGCTGGAACATCTGGAGCTTGGGAGATCCTAAAAATTACGGAAGTCCCTATCAATATCAAATGATTTGAAAACCGGTAGAGGGGCTTTCGGAATAATGCCGGTACTTCCTGATTTCTCCAACTTATTCGAGGATCAGTATGAGAAGCTTTCTGAGAATAATGCGCGGCATTGCTGGATTGCTTCCTAGGTGGGCCTTTGAAAACAAAATGACTACACTCGCCAACATCAGGGTTAGAGCCCTTATCATCAACTGGGACTATATAACTGTTAAGCTTTCGACTGATTAAAATCATCAGATTTAGATCTTTAAAAGCTGAACAAAGGTTTACTTGGTCTATGCACAACAATGACCCAAAGTAAGGCTGAACTAAAATCGATTAAACTACACTTGTTAAGCATATAATTATTACCTAGGTAGGTGGACGATTTTAGAACTGGCGATGAGGCTTTAAGCGTTATTTTAACTGTGAAGCAACTTCCGCTTCTGAAACTCGATAAGGTTTGATATATGGTCGATACCGATCAGCTATTGAAAAAACGTTTGCATTAAAAAATTGACTTTTTTCGGATGGTGATAAAAAAAGCTAAGACAGATAATTTCTTTTGATAAATTTCCCATGGAAGGTAATTATTTAAGCCTACTTGCAAAAAAAAATTCTACCCCCTTGCGAGCGGCCTTCCGGCAGTTAACCAGAACATTAGCCATGGCGGATGAAAACATGCGTGTAGGCATGTTTTTGAGTGCTTTCTTCGTTTTATTTATCAATTCCTCCTAAGTTTTTACGACAAAATTGTTGGAGTAGATCTTACGCTTCAGGTTGGCCCAGAAATTTTCGATGGGACGCAGCTGCGGGACGTTGGGCGGGTTCGCCGACTTGGGTACCTTATCGATATTCAGCCACTCCATCTCCTCCAACGATCGCTTCGAGTAGTGGGCCGACGCCATATCCGGCCAGAACACCGCGTCTTCACCCTTATGGCATTTCTTGATGAACGACGCAACTTCCGGCAGGCATTTCGTACTATAAATTTCCCCGTTCACGGCCAGTCCGGACCGAAAGAAGAGTGGCTTTGACATCCCCTTCTCGCTGATTGTCAGCCACAGCAGCACCTTCTTGGGGAACTTGGTGTGTGAAATGAACTTCACCTCGGAGCTCACTTCCTTCGTGGGGGAAGTAAAATACGAAGTGCCCTGCCAGTCGTTGCCATCCAGGGTGAGATAGGTCTCGTCGTCCATCACCACCGCCACGCTGCGATTCGCCGGGAAAAACGAGTTGACCATCTTATTCAGCCGCTGCCGCTGCGTCATTGCCTGCAGCTCCGAAACCAGTGGACGTGACTTCCGCTTCCTGACATGTATGTTCAACATCCTTTGGAGCTTCTTGTCGCTCAGGGTCGTCGGCCGTCCGGAACCGGACTTTCTTTCGATGCTCTGATTGTTGTCTAATAGTGCCAAGATGTTGTAGATGCTGGAACGGACGTATCCTGTGTCCACAAAGTGCCACACGATGTCCATTTTCGACGCGGCGGGGTGCCGTTCTTTGAACACGCACACTTCTGAACGGAATTGCTTCACTGTTTTTGCCGTCACGGTTAGAGTTCGACTGATAGAGCTGTCAAAATTTGTCTGCTGACTCATGGGTTACTATGATTGATGCTGCATGGGTAGTTTCGTCAGTGCTGTAGGTAGGAAGGTAAACCCATGAAAAATCGACCAATGTTGTCCATTTTTTTAAATGCAAACGTTATTCTAATTGAAGCACGCACAAATCATTTACAGTTGATCTGATCATTTTGGAGCTTTAAAGAATATTTTGGCAAATTGTCGTAACGTAAGGGTGGGTTAGCTTACCTCCACCTACAATGTGAGCCAACATCAAAAAGAAACAAGTGATTGGGGTGATATAATAGAGTATTTAGACATAGCTCACAAAATTTGAACGGTTTATCAAAATGTTGAGAACAAATTAAGGCAATGGAAACGCATGGTGTCTGATATGCGCTGTAAAATTCAAACGCAGCTAGACCAGCATTCGATCGCGTCCAATTTCGTCGCATTTCCAATCTTCCGGGATTAGATGTCTATATTTAGTTCGGCTACGTCTAGTTATTGACCTTACACATGTGGTGCGAAGCGCGATTAGTTTTTGCCCCGGAGTAAGTGTATGTGAGCAACAAAAGCAATAAAACCATCTTCTGGCAATATGGTTGGACGGAACGTGTAAGAGTAAACACTAGCAAATCCACCAAGAATGGTATATTGCGCTTTAGGTATAATTATTTGCGGCTGTTTTTGTCAATATTGTGACAGTTTGGCGAGACGGGCATGGATTTCATCATCTGCGATTTCTAGCGCTCACCGGGTTGCCAAAACTTCAGAATAATCTATATTTCAAAAAATTGTACAGAGTTTTTTATAACCAAGAATCTGTATTCACTGATCACAGGTT